TGCATAAGTTCCCAGATTTGTGTATTATATGCATGCATNTATATATATATATACATATATATATATATCCATTACAGTAGAGCTCCACTGCTCTGCACGATTTGCCCTAACAATTATTTAATATTACATACTTTTTAAGGTGATAAGAAATACATTTACATAGAAAATGTATTGGTGAAAAATGAGACAGTTCTTGCTCAGAATATATACAATAAAAAGGAACTGCTTACATGTATCTCCCATTTTTATACTTTTTCCAGATCCTAATATTTCTTTTATAATAATGTGAGAAGCATTATTCGATTCCATTCTCTAAAACCAGCCAAAAGAACTAAATTCAGTCTGCTCGTAAAATATCTAGTGGTAACGAAGTTTATTTGAGGATAAGATGATCAAAGTAAGGTTCGTTTCGTGCTCGTGTTAAAAAAAATACCTGTTAAAGAATTTACAGTTTGGTTACTCCCATTGAAGATAAAAAATTATTACGTATTCGCAAGCAGGCACAAGCAGATCGTTTTTATAAAATTGCTAGATATTTCAAAGATGACGTTTTCACACATACTTTTTATTTACAAAGTTCAAAAGATATATTTACAGCAGATATAAGATATCACTAAAATTGTATGCGTTCGTATAAATAAAAGTATGCAAAACAAAGAGAAGTGTCGATGACCAATGATGAAATAGACAAGCTGCAAATAAGTGGTGATAACGGAAATTTTAATAATAATACTATAATTAAGCCTATTTATAAAAATAAAGCAAAAGCCATCACCTGGATGCAGTGCAATAAAATTCATTATTCTAAGTTTACATCATGGTGAAACTTCTACATTGTTACAAATTCGTAATCAAGATAAGAGAATTATATAAAAATTTTACAATGATAGCAAAGCATCCGTAGGCTTTTTAACAAATAGTGCAATAAAACAGGCTCTAAAAGTCAATAAGTTCATTAATTATTACCTCTACTTTATAATTCAAAAGTAAATAGTGCAAATGGTAGCGTGATATCAAATTATTGTAACAAACGTCACGTTTGCACATCAAGAGCTGTCCACCATAGCTGCTTCAGCTTAGATTTACCGATTATAATTTTTTTTTTAGTTCATGTTTCGTAAGAACACGCTTTTTTTGTGCTTCCCCCTTTAGTTTTTTTCTTCATCTTTTGTTTTGCTCGTTGAATACCTGGCCACACTATCACAGTGCTCTTGACTGTGGCACCTGCTGATTGGCTGCCGGTGCAGTGGCTGAGAGCTCTGCTCAGCTTGCTGACAGGCGCGCGAGCGTGTGCGAGCTCGCGGGTCAGTTAGTGATTAGTCCTAGTTAGTCTGAGACGCTTATACATTTTATTACTTCGCCTTTACCTAGCTATCTTACTTGATCTTGCAACCGGTGCACCGAGTCCTTTGTGCAACGTGCTACTTGCACCAGCAGTCAGGAACTGTGTTTGAAATGGCGTGCCGACAGTACCAACAAAATAATAAATGTACTTTGCTACTCGTGAGTTCACCATTTTGATTGATTAGGATCAACCTGTGCATTTAATTTTCTTCCCTTGATTCACTCACAATCACACATACAAATTGAAATTGGACTCTTCTTCACTGCAGTGAAATTTGTGCAGTAACTTGTTTGAATAAAAAGGATTTTTTATGTCACAATGGCTTTTTTTTGGACGTCAGTGTTTTAATTGTACGTATCCCAAATCTTGTTTTAGTGTTACAATATATAACGTAAGGTGGGGTAAAGTTGCATTTTGCAACGTTTTTTTTTTTTTTGCGGATTTACATTGTGGATGAATCAATGAATAAAATAAAATGGGATTCAGTGGGACAACGCAGAAATTGCAGGGTATAGTGGGACAGGAAGAGAAAATCATAACTGTTAAATTTATTTGTCAAAAAATATCCTTGAAAAAATTTTCTAATATTCCTTTATATTTTAGCTAGATAAGACTCCCAAAATTAATTGTGGTAAACGTTCAAGGAAGAATGAAAATAATATTTTCTCAAGCTGTCCAAGCAATTATTTAATGCATACGTCTTAAACGAGGCATTTTATCCATTTTTGATGTGACACTAAAGTTGACTATCAAGATGATATACCGAAAATAAAATTTTTTTCGTACGTTCAAACTACTTATACGTAATAATATGACACTCAACAACAAGTGAGTTTTATTAATTAGGTCTTAAAAATAATTACTTGGTCATAAAATATAGCCTGTCCTAGTATACTCTTATTTTCTGCAAATACCATGTAGAAGTTGGACGAGGCTTATCATTGCTGTCCCACTACTGCATCCTTTATCCTTTTTTTAAAAAACTAAGTAGTAGTGGGACAAGTACTTGACAAGACCAAATTCTATTTGTAACGACTGTGATTTCATGCTTTTTACTGTAGTAATCGTGCGAGTATCATAAGTCTAATCTTTAATAGAAAAATAAAACTCAAATATACTTGTAGGATTAGTAGTTAAATAAATGAGAGCATTGTTACCTGTTAAATATACATAATCTGAAACCTAACCTTAATGCAATCTGTATTAATCCATCCTACCCAATGTAAAAAAAGTAACTTTGCAGAAAATGATATATAATTTCAATAATTAATTTTCATCATACTAATATTGAAAAAAATACTGAACGAAATCAATACCTCTGAAAATTGTCAACAGAAAAATACAGGTATTACTTTACTTACATTATATTTTCATTTGGTATTTCAGCCTTAAAAACTTGCTTCTTATCTCCACAGAAGAATCAAATAATTCTCCTTTAAAAAATATATTTTCTGTAACCAATCTTAATTTTAAGATCAAGAAGGAAGCAGCTAAGGAAAACCGACCCG